TACATAAACCAACTGAAACAACTTTAAAACACAAACAAAATTAAAAAATGGAAAAATAGTAGTTATTGTAACAAATTGACGAAGCAAACTATGATTCGCTAAGCAAGACACTCATGAAATACAAGAATTGTTGGGCAAAACAACAATGCACTAAGTGAAAACGTTCAAATAAGGAAAAAAACAGAATAAAAAAGTTCAATATTGGAACTAAAGCACTCAACGGACAATGGATATGTTGAGCGAAAAACAAACAAATATAAAATCAAACAACACCAAAACAAAAGTGTTTAGTGAAACACAGTCATTCAACAAAAAACAAACATAATGAAAAACTTGAAGTACGGGAAAAAAAATGTTTAGTGAACAACAAATCTAGTAAGTGAAAAGTGGAACAAGCAAAGATAAGAAAAAGTGGAACAAAAGTGCTCATGGATCCATTGAGAAAAAATGAACAAAATAAAAAGTATACAACACTAGAAGATTTTTGCTAAGCAAAATTGATTTTCATTGAGAAAAAATGAGACATTATTGAAAAATAACACGAAAAACATAAACTCACTCAATGAACAAGCAAACGATTGAGTAAATCTAAAACAGGAAATAAAATATATTTGGATTTTCAATTTAGACACAAACTCTAATAAGAAAAACAAATAAAAAACAAAACACAAACAAGTATGTACACTAATATTTTTATAACAAGTAAAAATTGAAGTTTAAATAAACACAAGCACCAATTGCTCCGCGACCATGATGTCCTTTTGGATCAATGCACATTTTGTCACCTGAATGTGATCAAATATGCATAAACAAGAATTAATGCAGTTATAGGGTTGACATAGGTTATGTCATCGAGGAGAATTGATAGATGTTTAAAATTTAGTTTTCAAGTGTCAAAAGCTAAGAGAAAGGGAGATTTGAATTAAAGTTATAATCCTAAGAAAAATAGTAAACTAACTTAGAAAAGCAATAAGAAAGCATTTAAATGAAAGGAACAAAACTTAATCTAATAAAGCGTGTAAAGAAAGCAATAAAGTGTAGAATTGTAAATGAAAGTTGTAAATTGAAATGGTGTACAACAAAAGCAATTAAATTTAATTCTTTGAAAGCATCTTAAAGAAAAGAAATAAAGGAAATCATGTAAATCTATTTTATAAAAGTGTTGTAAAATCATAATTGAAAAGTAATGATTAATTTTCTAATATCAACTTGTTTATATGATTGTCAATGATTTCTAGACTGTAAACACAAGATAGATCGATAAGAGTTCTAAAAATTCACAGTCCAATTGACTAGATCGAATTAATTTATCACATTCAATTGACCCAAAAACATAAATCAAATCCTAAATTAAGAAATTACTTAAACCCAAACCTTTATTTGTGATATAATTTGAGACATTCAATAAAAAAATCTCAATTACATTAATTATAATGAATTATAAACGGTTAGAATAATGAAGAATCACATCTAAACCACAAAAAATAAGTTTAAATCGGTGATTCAACCTTGAAAAGATATAAAAACATATTACAACAGCAAAAATGAAACCAAAAACCAAAAAACAGAAGATAAGGGCAAAAAAGCAATGGAAGAAGAACAAAATACATAAATTAAATGGAGGATATAGAGAAGAGGAAACAAATATGATCTAAAGCATCTTGAATTTATTAACTTCAAGGAAAATTTTGTACAAGTTCCATAAAATTAAGAGAAGAAAACATACTCTAAGAATAAGAGTAGAAAAGAGAGAAAAACTATAGAGAAAACCTAAAATATAAACTTAAGTGAAGTAATATTAAGTATAACTTATGTCTTTTGACTTTCTCAAGCCTTTATATACAACAACATGTTGCAAGTAGCATCAATTGTCCCGTGGCAGAGGCTAAGTGGGTTGGGCCACAATCGAATCGTGGCGTTTGGGTTGTTACTCTTAAGTAAAAAAAGTTGTACTCTGACTAATAGTTATAGCTTTTGACCAAGTGGTAAAAACTCAATCCTAACAATTGGTATCAGAGTTAAGGTCACGAGTTCGATTCCTGATGGGCAATTATTAAGGGGGAGATTATAACGAGTTGCACAATTATCCCGTGGCTCTTACTAGTAGCTATAACTTTTGGCCAAGTGGTAAGCGTTCTATCCTAACATAACAAATTCAATTTAATCACGCAAGACCCCACGCAAGGTCCATAATTATTCAATTACATCATTTGAAACTTGAATAGTCATTTTACATAATGGGTTTTGCAATATTTTCGCTTAGTGCTTTCTTCTTTCACTCAACAAAATTTCAATTAAGTTAGTTTGGTAGTCTTTGACATTTTCGCTCAACAAATCATCTTGCTAAGTGATTTGCAATATTAGCAAATATGCTTTGGATATAAATCATCGAGCGAATTTTTCTAACTTTCTTTAATTTATCATTCTTGCAAAAATAATCAAATAATATGTTAAAATATAGAATTCAGATAATAATTTAGATACAAAGATATTTATTTCTTTTTTATCAAACTATGTTAATAATTAATAATTAATTAAATTTACTAATTATATATAAAATATATTAATAAAAATATTAAGAAAATGACCAATGTCTTCGAGAGTGCTTCCAACCATATAGACTCTTTCTCAACTTACACACATAGTCTTCCTTGTTTTCAACATGAAAACCATCAAGTTATTTCTTCATCCAAATTACCACAAAAGAAAGTTGTTTTTACATCCATCTACTCAACCTCCAAAGAGTAACAACTAAACTTAACACAGTTATGATGGATGACATCTTTACCAAAAGTGAAAAATCTTATTGAAATCAACACTTTTTCTTCTCTGTTTAAAGTCTTTCACCACTAATTTGGCTTGGTATCTCAGAGATGTAAAATTACTCTCTTTCTTCATCCTGAATATCCACCTATTTTCTAATACTCTTTTGCCCTTAGATAACTTTAGTAAATCATAAATGTAATTATCATGCAAAGATTTCATCTTATCTTGTATTGCATTTGGCAACTATAATTTTTCTTCACTTTCAACAACTTTTTCAAAAATACTCAAGTTCTCCACCATCAATTCAGGTCACATACTCATCAAAAGATTATATAAAAGAAGATTGTCTCAACCTATTGGACCTCCTAGGAGGGACTTGTGATAATTTAGGTGTATCATCAAGATCATCATCATGTACCATATCATGTTCCTCTTGAACATCACCAATCAAAGCTTCTAATCCATCTCTAACCTATTAATCATCAACATCACCATGTTGCTCATCATTTTGAGTACCAATCTCAATATTATCCATTTTGAAAAAAAGAAATCACAGTAGGTTACCATTAATCATAATACTATTTTTCTCAAGCGTAGCCTTCTTCACTTTATTAATATCTTTAATGGTTTGATCTTCCATGAGTTGCACATCACAACTTCTAACAAGCTTTTAATCAATAGAATCATACAACTTGCAGTCAAATTTATCTTGACAATAACCAATAAAGGTACAATGTCTTGTCTTCACATCCAAGTTGAACACTTCATCCTTTTGGAACATGAACAAATGTGTTGCAATCAAAGACATGCAAATGTTCATAGTTGACATTTTTGCCAAACCAAATTTTGTTTAGCATCTCCGTATCTAAAACAATAGTAGGACTAAGATTAATAACATTCATTGTTGTAAGCAGTGCCTCTCTCTAGAAATGCTTAGGCAAATTTACTTCAGAAAGTATACACCTAACACTTTCAACCAAATTAATGTTCATCTCTACTAAGCAATTCATTTGAAGAGTTTTAGGAGAAGTCTTTTTATGCCTATACCTTCTTAATTGTAATATACATCAAAGGATTCACTATACTCACAACCATTATTAGTATGGATGGATTTCAACTTCTTCTTGATTGCCTCTCAACCATATTTATGGAGAGATTTAAATATTGACATATTTGATTGTGTTCCTCCTAACTTCATTATATACCTACAAACAAGATATTATTATATACATGCAAGAGACATCTACCAATAACTTTAAGAGGACTTGGTAGAATATAATAGAGAACATTTGAATATAATAGATGTTTTATTAATATATGTATTATTTTTATTAATAACAAAGTAAATTTATCTTTATTATCTAAAATATCAATTATTAATATTTTTATTTTTTGTTTTGGTATTTTAATTTTTAATAATAAAAATTTAATTAATTAATATTTAAAAGTTATTAAATTGAAATGTATTATGGAACCTGCAAAAATTATAAGTTATCAAAATAAGATCTATTATTAAAATAAAAGGTTGATAAGATCCTAAGAGATCTTATATCCTATACAAGAGTGTAGAACTCAGTAAAAAAACTTATCTAAAATCTCATTTGAGATCTTAACAATGTTATTTTGACAAGTGATTTACTTAATCCAACTCTACACTAGAGGCAATTTTTTACTCAGTGTTGATAACACTAATAAATTATTTGAAACAACTTTAAAAAGTATATATATATATATATATATATATATATATATATATATATAACTTAAATATATATTAATTAATTTTAATTTAAAAATAATAATTTTACATATAAATTATAGAAATATAATATTATTTATATATTTTAAATATAATTATTATCTTATAAAAAATAGAGAGATCCGATCTAATTCATTTAGGACATGTGTTAAATAAGAATAACAAATCCAAACATTACTAGCCTTAATAGCGTTCAATATTCTTAATTGGCATTAAATCTTACACATTTTAGTTTATGTAAATTCCGGCAAGAATAATGCTACGTAAACTGTCTACCAATTGAAAACCTATTAATTTGTTTAAATTCGTAACAATTCATTGTTGAATTCCTGTAACTGGCTCTAAATCCACATATAAGCAGATTTATCATAATTGGTATAAATTGTATTCTAAAAGTAGACAAAATGAAGTTCACGGTTACAAGTGAAAAATTGAAGTGATCGGAAAAGGATATACAACAAATGTGACCTATAACAATATGTTGTATGAAACTAAGATTCCCTAGTCTGGAAGGCAGAGCCTTTATCTTCTTCAATTGTACATGGTCGTGTTGATTCCGTAATTCTCTAATGATAAACAAAGTATGTTGTTTCAAATGTTCGCTGTCAATCTTTTCCAATGATACATAAACGAATAAGAGTCATGGGTTTTTCAATGATACAAAACATCATAATGATCTTGGGTTTTCTGTTGCTAACTTTATTCTGTTAATAAAGTCATCAACTGACATGGTTCCAAGCTCCCCACCAAATCTAGATCTAACTGTTACTGTTTCTGTTTCAACTTCTTTTGAGCCTACAACAGCCATTAATGGAATTTTCTGCTTCTCTGCATTTCTTATGAGTTTAGGTAGGCGTTCTCCATGTAAAACTTCAACTCTGATGCCATAAGTCTTCAGTTTGTCCGCTACAACTTTGCAATATCCAAGCTGTATGAGAAGATATAATATAGAAAAATATTCCCCATTAATCTACTATTCATTGTCTGTTATCGTATTCTAAAAATAAAAATAAAAATAAAATAAATAAGAAAACAGTCTCCCTAGTTAGGACTTGGGTAGCCCCATAAATACTCTCCAGTATCTATAAATAAAAGTCCAAACAGTTGTAAATTAACCAAAAAATTGATACGAGAGTAATTGAACTGTAGAAAAATTCAAACAACACAATCCATACATACAGACATCGATTACTGACTTGAAATAGAAAACCATAACGATTACAAAGAAAATGCAGAAGGGAATTTTGTATATCGAAATTGTACCCTAGTAATTTAGGAACCTAGTTTTGCAGTTTCCCATCAAAAACACTCTTCGTTAACTAATATTTTGAAACCCTTAATCAGTCATTACTTTTCGACCCAAGGGATAACACCTCCCCTTTTTGAAGCGCAAACGCTATGGCCAACAATTCTATCTCAATACTGTCTCTTATGTATATATATTGTTGTGTAATTGTACATCGAAGATCAAAGTTAGTAAACTAATTATAGTAGAGTAGACTGTAGTAAGGCTACCAAATTGTAACTAATTGGAGAGTTTGTTAACCGAACAAATTAGAGTACATTACAAAGTCCTAATAGAAAAATAGAAAAAAAGAATATAGGTAGAAGTGTATCATAGAGTATGCTCATGAGATAAGCTTCTTACAAATTTCATTAACACTTCGTTGGAGGATAAAGACCTCATCAATCATAGTTTGTCACCACAGAGGGTGAGATAAAGCTTCACCTAGGACTTAAGAATTGGTATAGAAGATAAAGAGGACAAACAAGTATAATGTATAAAGGAAAGGTGATGATTAGGTTAGTATAGTGGAAGGAAAGGTCCCAGGTAGAACGCATACCTTTTTGATACAACAATAGGCCAGTTAATTTCAGAAGATGAGACAGTATCTAATATAGGACGGGTCAGGCATGTCCTCCACTAAATCATTATCCATAACAGAGGAAGTTGGCAATTGAACTTCAATTCAATAGGCCATGAACAGCACTGACATACCTAAAGGGGTACTGGAGAAGCATCTTGAAACATGGCAAAGTCCTGTGGTAGTGATGAAGGATACTTGACATAGCATGTCTTTAATAGAAGGAATAGGTGCAAAATATAAGACAAACACAAAGAAGAAAAAAAACAGCAAAAACAAAATACCGGTGAAGACGGAGCGAGAAAGAGTGATACTCTTTTTGAGATTGATACTATTTGAGAAAAAGACGTTTAAATAACCGAGGAGAGAGCTTATCTCGACCAAAAAGATATATTTGAAAGACTGATGAGAGAGTTTGTACAAATTGAACCAAAAACACGTGGCAAAAGACTATATAGTGGAGAATGAAGAAAAGGCACAAAGTGAGGTACCAAATCATTAAGAATAGATGATGGAATCCAACTAAAGAGAAAACATGCTATTAGGACAACATCCCCCATAAACGATGAGTAACATTAGTGTGAAGAAGAATGGTCTGCATGGTTCAATAAGATGTTTGTTTTTGCATTCAACTTTAGTGTGAGGACAAGAAGTTTTATGAAGAGTACCATTGGATATCATGATCAGTTGGAATTTAGACACAGGTGTTTACATGCATTGTCACTACGAAAATCGTTTATGGATACCAAATTGTGTTTTGATTTCATTATAAAATGTGTGAAAATAGAAAATAACTCTAACAGATCTTTCACTAACCAAATCTAAGTACATCTAGAATAGTTATCAATAAAGTGAACTAAAGAGACAGAAGACAAAGCTCTTTTATTAAAGGTATCAAAAACACACTGACAAATGTGTTTACTTAACTAACATGACTCACAATATAAACTAAATAGACTTGTTTATCTTGGCACCATCTTATGCAATTTGGTCAACCCGAGATATCCTAATTGTGCATGAGTCATCTCAAAAAATAAATACTAGATGCACATACAGGTGTAGATGAAGAAAGATAGTAGAGGTCATGTGACTCACATCCGATACTAATCATCCATCTTGATAATGTCATGAGATTTAGTCAATTGAGTGACAAAGTCAATTAAATGGGAAATTGGAATGAATTCATTCGCATTCTTAAGTATATAAAAGGTGCCTTGAGCCCCCGAGATAAGGTTTGTTATATGGACACGGTAATCATACTTGAGTTGTGGGATACTTAGATTTCGATTAAACAAGTTCTCCTTTTGATAGGAGATTCACCTCCAAACATTGTGTCTTTATTGGTAACAATTTGATCTCCGAGAAAAGCAAGACGTAGTAGTGGCAAGATCTAGTATATAAGCAAAGAGAGCTTTGGCTTCTATCACTAGTGAGCTTATTGACTCAAACAATTACTTAACGAAAGAGATTTGGGGAGGTTACACAAATGATTCTCATTTGTAACAACCCAGTTGTCCTTCATATTGCCTCAAATCCAATATTTCACTAGAGGATCAAACATATTGGCCACTTTATTCAAGAAAAGATTGTATTTGGAGACAAATTACTATTAAGTTTGTTGACTCCAATATGATCAATTGGAGATGTCCTCACCAAATCATTGCAAGGTCCTAGATTTGATTATGTTTGTAACAAGTTTGGTGCATATAATTTATATGCTCTAGCTTGAGGGGAGTATTACATGTATTTTCTAGAAGTTTCTAATATATGGGCTTAGGCCCATCTCTATGTAATGATATGAGTGTGCGTGTATATATATATACATATATGTATATATATATGTATATATATACATATATGTATATATATATAAATGTATATATATATATATATACATTTATATATATATATACATATATGTATATATAAATATAAATATATATATATATATATATGTATATATGTATATATTTATATTTCTATATACATATATATACATGTATATACATATATATACATATATATACATATATATATATATATATATATACATGTATATATGTGTATATATATATATATATATATATATATATATATACATATATGTATATATATACATACATGTATACATATATGTATATATATGCATACATATATGTATACATGTATGTATATATATACATATATGTATATATATATATATATATATATATATACATATATGTATACATGTATGTAGATATATATATATATATATATATATATATATATATATATATATATATATATATATATATATATATATATGTTCTCAGTTGTGATTAATATACACAAGGTGAAGGTGATTCCATCATATACTCTATACCAATTCTCTCAATAATAATGAAGAACAGGTACAATAATAAGGAATAAAAATCAATATCTAATAATTGCAAATCCTTGGTAAGATATCAAATCATATCATAGGTCATTGTTTACTTTAATCAAATCATATCTCTTAGTCCAATCTTATCTCTAACAATGTATATAATGTATATACTTCAATAAAATATGATCAGAACTTACAAATCAACCAAAGATTTGAAAATTTTTTGAGCAGTCAAACATTGCATTACCTGGGCATCAGTAACAGGTAAAATTCGAGCTTGTACTGGAGAGAGCCATAATGGAAAATCACCAGCATAATGCTCAATGAGAACACCAAAGAATCTTTCCAATGATCCAAGCACTGCTCTATGGATCATTATTGGCCTCCTTTTCTCAGCATTTGAGTCAACATACGTGATGTCAAAACGCTGTGGTAGATTGAAATCAACCTGCTTAAGTTAAAAACATCTTTAAGTCAAGCCAAAAGAGAAATAGTTCCCTGCAAATGGATTCATTTCAAGACAAGTAACCAATAAACAAGCAGGTGATGAGTTAACACATTTAAGACTCAGCTTAAGATAATCCATGATGGTACGTGAATAGTTTTATTTTATACCTGCAACTTCCCCACCCTCATTGAAGATTCTTGGCCTTAAAGCATGTGGAAAATGTAGCCATGTGTACCTAGTGCTATTAGTATGGGGGTAGTTTGGAATATTTGTGACCATTGGCTACATAAACTCTAATACATGGTCTCACTCAAATAGAGAACTAATTTTGATAACTTATTAAATAATTTTAGTAGAACTATTATAAAAACGCTCATCACCTAAGCTGTTTCTAGCTTTTATAACAGCTTATTTTTATAAGCCAGATACCAAAAATAGTTTATATGGGTTTTCTAAGCTTTCAAAAGCTCATCCAAACATTAGCCAAAATAAGCTAAAAAAAAATTCCCAGATCAGGTAATGTCATCTGTGTAAGACCAAATCTACTAAACCCGTAAGCTATTAGGCGAAGGCATTAAAAATTTATGAAGTCAAGAATTGCCTGTATGGTTGAGCACTGCCACTTCCTACCAAGAGCATCCTCGATCTTGATATCAATCTTTGGCCCATAAAAGGCACCTCCTCCATCATCAATTTGATAAGTCCAACCTTTATCATCCAAAGCATCTTCTAAAGCGGAGGTAGCTTTCTCCCATATATCATCATCTCCTACAGCCTTTTCAGGCCTTGTAGATAAATTTACTTCATACTTGTCAAAACCAAACTGCAACAATATTTCTTCAGTAAGATCTAGGACACCCCTGATCTCATCTTTAATCTGGTCATCTAAACAAAATATATGTGCGTCATCCTGTAAAAAAGATATTGACGTCAAACAAAAACCAATTTATCAACATGCAATTTTCCAAAAGCAAAATTAGAAATCAAATGTAGCAATTTCTAGAAAGCTAAAAAAAATGAAAAATAATAAATAAAAAAGGGTGGCTAATGCATGAGGCTTGCACAATTGTAGCTATCCAGGACAGTCAAAATCTGTACAACCTCACCAATGAACCAGGGCTCACAGTCTACTATGTAGAAGTCAACATTGAGAACAAATTTTTAGAAAAATTGGATCAACAAAACTTTGGTAGTTTACAAGACTATAACAAACCTGTGTGAAACCTCTAACACGGAAAAGGCCATGTAAACTTCCAGATAGTTCATATCTATAAACAGTTCCCAATTCTGCTACCCTTATAGGAAAATCACGATATGAATGAAGCTTGCTTTTATACACCAAAATATGATAAGGACAATTCATTGGTCGGAGCTGATAAAGCTCATCTTCAATGTTCATCTGGTCATACATATTCTCTTTATAGAAGTCCAAATGACCACTGATCTTCCAAAGATCAGCTTTTGCCACATGTGGTGTGTACAGTAGATCATATCCACATTTCAAGTGAATTTTTTTCCAGAAATCTTCAATTATGTGTCTGACTATAGCTCCTTTTGGGTGCCAGAAGACTAAACCCCCGCCAGCATCATCCTGAATGAATCTAGTAAAGTTATTTACCCATAAAATAGGAATAATAAAAAGAAACCCTCACAGATCTGAATCACCAATGCAATCAAAATAGAAAGTTAAACCAATGTGCATTTTACCTGTATAGAAAACAAATCAAGATCTTGCCCTATGCGCCTGTGATCTCGACGCTTAGCTTCCTCTTTGAAGTGAAGGTAAGCTTTTAACTGCTCTTCATTCTCCCATGCAGTACCGTATATCCTTTGCAGCATTGGCTTGTTTTCATCTCCTCTCCAGTATGCCCCAGCAATAGACTCAAGTTCAACTGCTTTCTTATTGATATTTCCAGTAGATTCAACATGAGGACCAGCACAAAGGTCCCACCATTCATCACCTACAAGGAAAAGAGGATATAAGATGAGACAGAAAATAAACAGATGATACACCACACCCAGAAGCTTCTTTTTTAATGTGATATGAAACCTGCAGCACTCTCTAAGCACATCCTTGCCTCGTCATTGTTATTCTACTTTACACTTCCATCTTCAGAGTTCCAATATAAAACACATTACACTGTCCATTTTCATTCTGCTGAAGCATGTTAATTGATCATGTTAAAGATGCAGAAGAAATTCAGCGCTCTAAATATTTAGAGAAAGCTAACAAGTATAACTCCCCTATTGATTATGGGTAGGACACAAACGACATTATATAATTACATTATTACCATCTTTATATATATGGCAACATGAAACGTATTTTTCAATATTAAAACAAGGGTACTTAGTAAAATGCAGTGCATGATCAAACAGAGAAGCAAAATATTGTGTTATGGCTCAAACTACTAGCGACACCAGTGTGGATGATGATGAGACTGGCAACGGCTACAGGACTACTAAGTCTATACAAATTTTGTTGTACACATATTGAGACACATTCTCACTTTATATCCAAGGGAAATCTCAGCAAGGACATAATTCAACTTATCATTTGTGAAATAAGGATTTGTTGTTAGCAGAATCCTTTCAATAAAGGCAGATCTATAAGCAACAGTCTGGGCAAGATTAATATATACACCCAAGCATGAGGGAGAGTTTTAAAATATAATAATTTATGTGAGCTGGTCTTATACTATCTGTCCTGCACTCGATGACTGGTACAAATAGACACAAGTCTAGTCATCGGGAAGTTTTCCGGTCACACATCAATTCTTTCTTATCTACCTATGTCTTCACCGAGAATGTATAGTATTAAGCATGCACAGAGCATAACAATCATGAACCAGGTGCACACAGTCACCATTTCTTTTCCCTCTAAAGTCTCTCTCTCTCTCTCTCTCTCTCTCTCTCTTTATATATATATATATATATATATATATATATATATATATATATATATCTGACACCCTCTCACTCTAAGTTTCAACAAGAGGGGAATATAAAATACTGGAAGAGCAACTACCAATATGATATATGCTGATGGAATCCTCCTTGATGGTTTCCAAAATCTCCAACTTGTATGGTTCATTCAATGCCGATATTCTTCTATAAGCTTCGTCTCTTGAAACTTCTTCTCTTTGGAGAGGTAAATTTCTTCCAATAATCCGATCCTGTATACAACGTAGGACAGAACAATGACGTTCCCTAGTTAGCAGTGCAGTGCATAGTTTGCGAAGCATGAAAAGAAAAATGCAAAGATCCCAAATCATAAAGAGTAAATGGACTGACTCTGCCTACCATCTCTTTTTTTATTCTCTTTAAATCTTTATCGGTCAAAGGCTCCATATCGAAGTCATAATAAAATCCATTTTCTATCCAAGGCCCAATTGTGACTTTTGCATCAGGGTAGAGCTTTTGAACAGCCATTGCCATCACATGCGCGCACTGCATGCCTGCAACTTCTTAGTGAAACTAAAGATACAAAAGCATTCAGTAACTACAGAATTGCCTTTTCCCATTACCGTGTGGCGGATTCTGAGCAGCCTCTCCGATGATTCGTTGGAAGGCAGAACAAGGTGGCTGGGGTTGGGGTTGGGGTCCGGGTTGGGGTTGACAGAAACCGAAGGGTGGGTGGCGACGGCGAGGATGGTGGCTGTGGTGTTAATAGTTGAGGCGCATTTTTGTTTTGTGGTGGAAGAAAGGAAGGAACCAGAACCAAAACCAAAACGACATCGTGCTATAAGGGGAGCATTAGAAGAAGGTGAAAGTGTTGTTGCTACGGTGATGGTAGACATTTTGAATGAACTGAAGAGCAGAGGAGACGATGATGAAATGTGCGCACCACTTATCTCCCGTCCGCTCCTCACACTCCACCACCCTAATCCAATTTCTGTCCACAAAAAAACTTTGACGTTCCCAAATCGCTCCTTATCAGTTATACTTCATAAGAAAAAGTATCATCGTTTTCATCTCAAGAAATATTCCTCCTAATACTATTCATCCTAAATGAGGACGATTATGATTATTTTGGATTTTATGGCAAATTCTTGTTAGACCCATTAAAATAGGATAAATAATTGTATTTACTGCTCAATCATATCTTATTTGACTTGAGTATTGAAATATTGTTGCTAATATTCTTATATGACGGTCAAGTATTCATGAAGATAATATGATTAAGAAACTGAAAAGTCTACTACTCAAACTAAAGTGAAAACTATGCATCAAACTTTAAATTTTAAAACCTAGATTCATACAACCACTACGATCCATAAATAATAATAATAATAATAATAATAATAATAATAATAATAATATATCTTAGAATTTGATTTGTTAATTTTATAAAATATTGGTTTATAATTTCTCATTTGCATTTTGATGAACAAAATAATTCCTTAAGTTAGTTGAATCAATTTATAGTTGTTTTTAACCATTTGTAATTTTACTTACTAGAATGCATATTTGCATTATCTTTTGTTTATTATTCATTGAGTGGAGCTCTTCGTCCCTTAATGAAAAATACTTAAACCAAATCTTTAAATCTTTCTAATTTATTATTTTTCATCGATGTATAAATATTCAATAAATTATATAGTTTAATTAATAATTTGACTAGAAACTTATATAGTTATATTTTCTTAAAATTATGTTAACAGTAAATAAACTATATATATATATATATATAATATAGATAAAATATATTCAACAAATAAATTGACACTTAATTTTTTCACTTTCAAATAAAATTAAAAATTAGAAAACAAGATAAAAATAAGTTTTGTATTCTTAATCGTGAGTGAGTTCTGAACACAATGACAGAACGAAACTTTTTTTCATAAATAATATTTGTAAAAAATATTTTTCAAAATAATATATCTCGGAACATTATTTATGTAACTAGCACTCTTTATTGTTTATCGTACTCTCGCTCAAGCGAGAAATACATCGTTTTAGCGAGGAGACCTGTAACTTAAGGGTTTTGTGGGGTTTAATTTCACTCAAACGATATAATTCTCGCTCAAGCGAGAAACCCTTCGCTTGAGTGAGGAGACCTGAAACTAATGGGCAATCTCGGGTGTTTTTCCACTCAAGCGATGGGTAATTTCGTTCGAGCGAGAACTGATTGAAATATGTTGTGACCCAAGTTGCATTCTCGTGGCTAACTGCGTTGGACCTTTAGCTTGTAGTCAATTCTCGCTCAAGCGATGAATAATTTCGCTCGAGCGAGAAGTGATTGGTTAAGTTAACACCCGTGGTCAATTCTCGCTCAAGCGAGAAATCCATCATTTGAGCGAGGAAACTTTTAATCGATTATAATTTAAACTAATCGATCATAATTTTAAAATATTCAAATATTTAAAATTATGATCGATTATTTCTCTCGCTCAAGCGAGAAATCCATCGCTTGAGCGAGGAGACTTGAAACTAATGGGTAATGTTGGGGTCAATTCTCGCTCAAGCGATGGGTAATTTCGCTTGAGCGAGAAGTGAATGGCTAAGTTAACGCTCGTGGTCAATTCTCGCTCAAGCGAGAAATCCATCGCTTGAGCGAGGAAACTTATAATCGATTATAATTTAAACTAATCGATCATAATTTTAAAATATTCGAATATTTAAAATTATGATTGATTATTTATCTCTCGCTCAAGCGAGAAATCCATCACTTGAGCGAGGAGACCTAAAACTAATGGGTAATCTCGGGTGTTTTTTCGCTCAAACGATGTGTAATTTCGCTTGAGCGAGAACTGATTGAAATATGTGATGATCCAAGTTGCATTATGTGGCTCACTGCGTTGGAGCTTTAGCCTGTGGTCAACTCTCGCTTAAGCGAGAAATCCATCGCTTGAGCGAGGAAGCCTGCAACTATTTATAATCGAATATAAGCTAAACTAATCGATAATAATTTTAAAATAATCGAATCTTATATCTTCACTAGTCAACTTAAGCCTTTTACAATAATTGTTTCATAAAACCTACAAAGGCTTATCTAATTATTTTTTGTCGCCGTCGTCAAAAAGAGGCGGTCGGAGTGACGCGATAGTTCCGACTTTCCATTTTTTGCGTTTAATTATGGGTGAGGTTACAACGCCTTTAGGTTGTTCGATAATCGGGTTGAACCTAAAGGCGAGGTTTTTGAAAGAGCGTTCTTAGATTGTCCGATAATCGGGCTGATCTAAGAACAATCTTGAAAGGGTTCTTATGGAGTCGTCATCGATGTTTTTACCAGAAACATCGAAAAAGGGAAGAAAAAGGCATTGGTTTCTTAGAAAAACCAACTTCGGTCGTTAAAACCAGAGTTGGGTAAGGGAGTTAGTTACGCATAAGGGAAGTATTAGTTCCCTTACGACGCCCCTTTCGGATTCCCTATGACAGACCAGTTATTTTATAAATAAACTTTTGAAATGACGCTTTTACCCTTTTATTTACGGAATTAAAATGATGACTACACGACCCTAATTAATGCATATACAAATAATAAAGCGATAAAAGAGAGGGGGGAGAATGAAGAAACCTACGAAGAAAGTTTTAATTAATGCTCTTGAAAAATGGGGTGCGTTTTGGCAGCCCCTCGCTCTTACAAGGTCGAATTCTCTCTTGAAAACGCTATAAAAAACTCTCTTAAACACTCAGAAAATCCAGAAATGCTTCGGAGGGACTCTAGGAGAAGAATTTTGAGAAATTGTAGGAGGAGAAGTGGAAGAACTGTGTGAAATGAAGGGGAGAGTGCCCCCTATTTATAGGGATTTGCGCCCATCAGGTAGAGACGGCGGTCTCGACTTGAATAAGTGGTAAGACGGCGGTCTCGTTTGGCGAGACGGTGGTCTCGACTTGCCAAGTGGTGAGAGGGCCATCTCGCCAAACGGGACGGGGGTCTCGCCAATGGTAAGTGGCGAGATGGTCGTCTCGCCAAACGAGGCGGCGGTCTCGACTTACCATTGGTTGAGACGGCGGTCCCGAAAAGCGAGACAAATGTCTCGACCCCTGAAGGCAAAAATCCTTATTTTTGTACAGAAAAACTTTCCCATTCTAATATGGGACCTAATAGTCTATCCTAGTGGCTTTTTAAGTTCTGTCCATCTTCGAATAGGAGGTCTTCTGCTCTTATTTTGACGTTGGGCAAGATTTAGGGTCTACAACTGCCCTCCCCCCTTCACCTGACTAGCCGACTGTTGGCCTATTGTGCCAAGAAGACCGGCTGGAGGGTGAAGGAGTTAACCCTCTTGCCCGGTTATCCTTCGGATTCTCTGTCTTGCGGTGGTTGATCCTCTGGGAAAAAGTGTAAGTCTCCGGGATGCTCCTCCTTGCGGTAGCTGACCCCTTCAGAAAAGAATGTGTTATGCGCCTCCAGGATGCTCCTTCTGACGGTAGCCGATCCTCTTGGTTGACACATGGTAGAACCTCAGGATACTCCTTCTGATGGTAGTCGATCCTTCGGTTGATGAGTATAAACCCCCCATCAGGCTGGTAATTACAGTCCACTATCCGTAGGATTGGATGAGTATAAACCACCCATCAGGCTGGTAGTTGTAGTCCGCTGTGCGTTGGGATGGATGAGTATAAACCCCTCATCAGACTGGTACAGTCCACTGCGTAGGACTGGTGGTGGTGGTGGCTTATTGCTTAGTAGCTCATGCGCCCGTCTGAGATGCGTTCTCTTGTCTTTTGTTGTTTAACTTTTCTGGAGTAGTCGTCCGATTTTTGCCGGGGACTATTTTGACTCTTTCGGTGGTCATCCAGTTTGTTGGTTGTCGGGTAGTCTTATTTATTTGTCGCTCGACTTTTGTTGTTTTGTCGAGATTTTGCGGGAAATGTTTTTTCTTGCATGCTCTTGGGTAGGGTCGGTGAAGTCTTATCGGTATACCTTTGGGTGTTTCCTGTTTTCAAATGCAAGTACAGGGCTAATTTCTTGCATGAATGATCTTTTATTTTTTTTTGTTTGAAGCATTTTTGCTTGTTTTGATTTTGACAAAGTCATTTTTGTGCGACTATTTGTGTGGATGCTCTAAATGCAATTTATTTTTAGTTGGGGCACCTAGAAAGCAACTAGTATTCTCGTTTTCTGGTGATTTCTCTGATGGGTTTTTATATTGGTTTTAGCCCTATCTTTTGCCTAGACCACCCTTTGCGGGTTTTCGATCTAGCAGGCCGCCTTAATTTTTGCTTAGGAATGGCCTAGCAGGCATTTTTCTTTTCCTTTTTTCTTTCTTATGTTTTCTTGTATTGACTCTTTATGCATGCTTGTGTTTCGTTAATACAGAGACATTTTCATAAGTTGGTCAAGAAAAGGAAGACAATTTTTATAGATATAAACAAGTGGTTTGTTTTTTACAGATGGATTTTCAAAGGAATTTAGAAGAAGAGCTGGCTAAGGTTTGCTACACTGTATAAGCTGTAACAATCATGTCCCTGATTTCTGTTTCTTTGCTTCTCTTGGTTGCTTCAGTTAAGATGCTCGAGCCCGGAGTGAAGATCATGCAAAGTTTGTCTGCTTCTGGGAAGGTATTACCTTAGTCGCCTTGCGGTTTTCAGCTAAGGTAATCATTGCTTTCTCTTTTTTGTTGTTTTTTTTAACCTCTAATTTTTGCCTAGGACGTATCCTAGCGAGGAATATGAACCCTATCTTTTGCCCAAGATGCTCTTTGCGAGTTTTCATCCTGACGGGTCGTGAGCAATGTCTTCAGGCATAGTATTTCTTTACCGCATCTGAGTTGACTGGATGTCGGAGCTCTTCCCCGTCCATGTTGGTGAGGATAAGGGCTCCTCTTGAGAAGACTCGCTTGACCACAAAGGG